CTAGAGGGGATGCTTACTAACGGATGCTTACTAACTGATGATTGAATGAGCACAGATAGAACTATGCAAAACATTCCTAAGAGTTAGATTTGTACTCTTGTAAAAGGAGCCTTATAGTGCAGTGCTTCAAAACCTTGGTTTCTAAATGAAAGTTTACTTACCAGTCCCTTTGCATGAGAAAATATTGCAGCTTTGGAAATCTATGAACAGTTGTAATCTCTGTCCTGCAGGCAACCATGAGTTAGAATTGACTATTGCAATAGATATTTTTGTAAGGTAAATTTGCAGAGGCAATGTTAGTTTAAACATAAATAAATAACAACTCTGAAATCAGAGAAACAAAAAGTTTTGAAAAGTATGTAAGTGGTAGGAAAGATGCAGACTACTAAAGAATATTGAATCCATCTGGATGCATAGCTTTTGGGTACCTGTGGAGGAGAGGAGCACACAGAAGGGTTTTAAGTATTTTCTGAGAAGTTCAGGTGCCATAAAGTACTGGCAGGGAAAAAAAAAATTGGTATTTTCTCTTCAAATCTCAGGAGAAGTCACTTAAATAATGGCCACAAGACTAATGAGAAACAGTCATATGGTAGCGATCAAACAGAGAGGAGAGTCACACGAGTCATAGCTTTTCTGAGAATTTCATCAAAAATATCCTTCAGCAGCACTTCCCAAGAGGGTTTGAGAAGAAAAAAAAAAAAAAGAACTTTGAAAAGTCATAGAAAATATCTTAAAAACATAATTTCTGTTGCATTTTACTCTTTTATTAGTGTCTAAATTTCTGCATTTATTAGGCTATGTATCTATTGTGAAGAGTAGGCTGTGATTGTGGTTGAGTGTCATTCAGCACATTCTGACTCATAACAATCTCGTATAGGACTTCCAATGAGTGACTGGTGGGTTTGAACCATCAACCTTGTTAGCAGTCCAGTGCTTTTTGTATAGTGCTACTCCAGGTTTCCTAGAAAGGAGACTTCTGGAAAAAAAACAGAAAACCTGCTAGACAAAACAGGAGTAGGTAGGTGGTACAAATAGTTAACATGTTACTGATAACTGAAAGATTCAAGGTTTTAGTCCACCTAGCAGAGATTTGAATAAAAGACTGGTATGATTGGAAGAGATCCATATTTGTGCCCATTCCAAAGAGAGGTGATCCAACGGAATGTGGAAATCGTCGGACAATCTCTTTGATATCTCAAGTGAGTAAAGTTTTGCTAAAGGTAATACAGAAACGGCTACAATCATACATTGACAGAGAACTTCCAGATGTTCAAGC